TCTTTTAGTGTTTCGGTCGTATATTCATCTTGTAGTCAAGAAGATAGGCCCATTTGATAGTACATTGGTGTTATCTGCTATTTGGATGTGCTGCTTCTGTGATCGATAGAATGTCATATAGAAATCAATGCATTTGTTTAGTTACTTGGGAGGCCATTGCTCATAGCACTTAAATAATCACACCTCACATTTTTACATCTGGGTGCAATTTTATGCTTAGATTCTCTTTTACTCTCTCTAACTGGTTGATAGTAGTTACAAGTCCCAAAAATATAAACTTCAATTAAGTAGTAGTAATGTTATTTAATTATCTAGGAATGTTTTGTTCAGGTTTTCGATCTCATTGACTCACCCACATGGTTGAAACAGTAAGAAATTACAAAATAAATTAATTGGTTGAAATATGTTGGAGCTTGTAATAACCCACCAAAGGCTAAAATTGCAATATAGTGGTAGAAAGGTCGAACCCACAGGGACAGAGTCAACACACAGAGTACAAAATGTCACATTTAACAGACTATTGAAGAGTTTGAATTCTCAGGCGACTGTCACTTCCAGAAATACTGCAAGTGCTCGCTCGGAGGTCGCACAGTGCAGCGTAGTTCACTCAACACACACACACACTTGAAACTATAGAAACACAACTCAGAGGTCGGTTAGGACCTCTACTTAAGATTTCAGGGGGAAAGTCTCTCGCGAATACACTCAGCGAATCTGCGGGTAGTGACTCCCAACTCCGGTTTTTACAACCCTTCCACTAGTTTCTGCTAGCACAGGGAACCCGGATTGGACTTCCTACTTCGGATCGAAGTCACTCACTCGCGGTGAACAACACACTTAACTCACAAAACGCGCAGAGAACACAGGTCCGAACTGAGAGACTCAACTGAGAAACGTTCCAGTAGCACACCATAATAGTCTATTGACGAGTTTGAATTCTTAGGCACTAGTCATTCCCAGAAATACTGCAAGGGTTTGCCCCAAGAGCGACTTCTACAGCGTAACTTGAATTTACAACCAAGGCTTACTCGAAGTAACAAAACTTCACTTTGACATTCAGGGGAAAAATCCCGAAGGAGTACAATCAGAAAACAATCACCCGAAGGTGTAGGGACGAACTTTTCAAGTATCTAACCAGTTACTAGCTCTGAGCATTCGGCAATCACCCGCAGGTGTAGATCCAAACTGCTCAAGTATCTAACCAGTACACTGGCTCTGAACATTCGGCCGAAGGCCTTTAGCTACAGAATGCGGGATCTTCGTCAAGCTGTAGCTACTCTTGCGCGGTGACAGAACTAAGGACATAAACACGCAGAGAAAATGATTTCCTAATCTGCACGTCCGAAACTGGAAAAAACCCAAGGCAAGACGCTTTGAACTACTTTAAACCCTCTAAGTCCTAACTAACACTACACTACCTGCTATGGTGCGAGCCGCAACAGATCCTACACCTGAGGAGTCGGCGGCTGCCTTCACCTCTAGCTTACAACCTAAATCTAACTCTAACTCTTAATCTGAATCCTAAGCCTACTGTACAGAGCCGCCAGCGTCTTTAAACGCTTTACATCCAAGATCTGAGGCTGAATATTTGCAGGCATGCGTGGCCGGCTGAGACCAACGGCCTCATCAAATTTCAGATCCATCTGACCGTCCATCGCAAAGATATGCGTCCCGCAAGATCTCTAAACCTAGACCAAAATTCCTTCTCCAAAATCCGAGGTCCGGGGGACTCACATGCCGCTTGAATGCCGTTCCCACGATTATAGGTAACGGCCTGCTCCTCACGTGCGACTCCACGCCCCGCCGTTCAGCCTCCCACGCGCGACTTTACGCCCCGTTGTTCTGCTTCCCACACTTGACATAATCCCGCCAATTTCCGCCATCGGGAATCTTATGCCACGTGGCGCCGAAGGTGTGTACCGCCAAAGGCCCTTGCCCCGAAGGCCCTTGAGCTGAAGGTGCATCTTCCGGCGGTTCTTCCGCCGAAGGCGCTTGCCCCGAAGTCTCCCTATCAGTAACTTCCGACACTCATAACTCATTGATCTATTATCCGTTCCAAGCGTTCTTGGGCTCGTTAGAACGAGCGTGTTGAAATCTTTCTAACGAAACCCTAATCAAGTCAAAGCATCATGAATTGAAAAAGTTATGAGGAATCCAGTCTTCCGCCGAAAGCACTCTCCGGCATCGCCGAAGGCGTATCCCCAAAGACGTCCGTCGCCGAAGGCGTTGACCCGAAGACCTTCACTATCTGTAACTTTAGACACTCATAACTCCTTGATCTCTTATCTGTTCTAAGAGTTCTAAGGCTCGTTAAAACGAGCGTGTCGAGTTCTTTTCAAAGAGAACCTAATCAAGTCAAGGTGATATGAATTGGAAAAGTTATGATGGATTCACTCTTCCGCCGAAGGCCCTTGCCCCGAAGGCGTCTACCGCCGAACGCGTACCACCAAAGTCTCTACCGCCGAAGTCCCCCCATCAATAACTTCCGACACTCATAACTCAGTGACCCCTTATCCATTTCACGAGTTTTGGGCTCGTTAGAACCAGCGCGTCGTGGTCTTTCCAACAAGACCTTAAGTAACTCAAGGCGTTACGAATTGAGAAAGTTATGAATAATCTACCGCCGAAGGTGCTCGAAGCGGATCCTGCAGCATGAACCGCCCGTTCCATCCCAAACGTTCGACTGTGGCCTAAGCCCAAAACCCCTTGACTGTACTCGATTCTCTTTTTACTCTAGTTTTGCATACCGATTACTATTTACAACTTTTACCGCGGTACTTACTATTCAAAAATGTTTTAGTTCCGACGAAAAACAAAAAGTGAATTACCACAGAGCTCTGTTCATACACAGAATGAAGAGAAGTGCCGAGGAACAATAAGGTCCTCACTAATCAGAGCTAAAGTTTGACGTTCCATCGAAGACAACAAAAAATGAAATACAGTAGTTCTCATCATGCTGGTTGGGATGCCTACACTGCCAACGAGGAACCGTTATAAGATCATCAAACACTAAGGCAGGCGAATGATATGCCTGCTGATTGTCTATCAAAGGGCCTACAACGATACCGTTCTTCCTGTTCTTTCACACGACTTCTGAGCGCGGACTCTTGTGCTGTCTCGCTGGATGTCCATTCTCGGACGTGGATAGGATATTTGTAGTTGTTTTACCGATGGGAATAGAAAATAGCTTTTGGATGCCCCAGCTCGGTAAGTTGGTACGCCCCGGACATACATATGTATGAAACAAAAAACGAACAACTATCTTAAATTAGTAATGTAGATGCTAAAACCGCACCCAGCCTTCTCTTGTTATGTTCAAAATCGGCGTCAAGTATTGCACCGTTCGGAGGTGGGCCAACGTATCTAATAGCTGATTCACTCACTGTTCTCGTTGAAGGCTGCCGCAAAATACAAAGTGAATCGCAATCTGAATTCTGTAATTCTTTCACAGGTTCTCCACATTCAAGATTGATTTATTCTTCATGTGGAAACAAGGAAACAAGGCCTTGAGAATCTCTTTCAGAAGGACTTTTGGATTCGAGTGTCTCCCTGACTCGAATCCCTAGCCGTGGCAGTGTGTCCGTAAATTTTATCTCATGACCTGGAGTTATTATATATTAGTCCTTCGGTGATTTTCTTTGCTTTTTAAATATAGGAACATTGTTTGTGCTTCTTATCAAACTTTGCACTATGCGCAAATGTGCGATAAACAAGGAGTACAAGAACAATATCCAGCACATTCTGTCCGTACATGCGCAGCTGTTAGCCAAAATGATAAGATGTCATCGGACAGTGCTGGTATAATCAGATCCCTTTGTTGTCAGCTACTAAAAGGTTGTGCAGGGTATGAAACTTGGTTTTGGATTAAATTCTGTTCTCCATGTAAAATGCATTCCCAACATTCAGAATTCAGTCAGAGCTGGATCTCAGACTACGATTCTTTGAGATTGGTAGAAGATACTCTGCTTCGTATCAATCCCGCTGTATTCGCTTCAGTACACCAGTAAGTTCAAACCACTGCTGCTATTCTCTCCAACAAAAATTATTCTGTTCTTTGACTTGTGCGACAGAGTTTCTCCACAGTTGTTTAATTCTTTCGTGCTTTCTATGCGACGAACATAAAGTTAAATGTGTTCAAAATAAAGACGTCTTTATCGTCTCGCTCCGGCTATCGCACTCTCTCCGAGCATCTTAGCTAACATGATATATTTTTCCCTTTCATCGTAACCTCATAAAATCTTCTGTCTAATGGAAAACTCTGAGAGGCAGTGGAATTCCTCTCAACCTCCAAACCTTGTTGTCCATCCTTCTGTTTTGGGGATGTGCATCGTCTGCAACACATACTACACTGTATTCTTCCGATATAAAATTGCGTCTCAAATCTAAGTACTACCTAAACGGCGAACTGTATACGTCCTCCTAGCTATAAATTCTTACTTATATGTTCACTCGGTTTTCTTCAAACAAATTGTACCACTCGGACTTCATCGTTGGAATTCGAAGGCTGTTAGCACACTCTCCATAGATCCAAAAACTCTTTCTTCTCTTTGAACTCGAAACTTACTGTTACTATTAAGTCAATCATTAAGAGTGCAATACTTTCTAAAATAAAACACTGAATATTATCTCTAAATTCCTATTATACTAGTTCATCGCAACGGTGTATCAAATTGGCCAACTTCCGCGTGTATGTATGATATAGCGAATGCTGCTAAATATCTTGGTTGCTTTTGCATCCAAAGCATCTGCAGGCTTTGCAATCCTCTGATTATCAGTTTTGGTCCCTTCTCCCACTTTGGATCTCTTCTTGTAAGTCGATTTTACTCATTCAAAGGGTTTGAGTCACTACGCCGTTGGATTACCTTGCGTTACTTTACACAATTACTGTAGATCACTAGAGGTTGTTTTGCAGCTGGATGAACTCCTTCAAACTGGTACGATTTCACCAGAGTGAAGCCTGCTAGTAAATCTCAGTATTTCTTAGATTTAATGTATCGAGTTATATTGCAAGTTGTTTAAGCTTGTCGAGCGGAACAAATCAGTCCAATACAAGGCTTCCTACATGATTATGAATAATTCGAAGAAAGTAGTGATGTTTTGGTAAGCATTAGCCAATCGAGTGCAGAATGCCTCAGAATGAATGACTGGTAATCGATTCGGTCTATTGCCAATGTGCATCAAAGCCTGCATGCAAAGATTAATGTTCTATTCAGCTATATTTAATCTATAACTGTTCCTACGTTGAAGCTTCCTCACCTGAGTCTGGATACTTCTATTGGGCCACACAACAGACAATTGAACGTTCAAAGAATTATTGGTTTGATAAGCCTTTGCCAATGCTTGAGCACTAGTTTCGGACAAAGGCGCATCATCCTTACCATTTAAGCACACAAGATGAGGGAGGTGCCCTGCTTCTAGTAGCCCTGCCATCTTTGCCCATCCTTCATCTCTCATCTGTACGTTACTCAGCTGCAAAGTCTTCAAATTACTTGTGTTTCCCGAGCTCAGAGCATCTAAAACAAGCGAAACTCCTTCGTCACCCATTGAAGGACTGTCACAGACACAAAGCAGTGACAGGGACATGAAACTCGATGACCGAAGCGTTTTCGCAAGAGACTTAGATGCTTCCAGTCCGATTTCACACATAAAGAGATCAAGGGCCTTAAAGTCTCCCGTCAGTCCCGACTCCAGAGCTTGTATGATGGCAATCATCCCCTGCTCTTCGACGACTCGACACAGTCTCAAAACCTCCAGCCGCGGTAACTGTCCTGATTTTAACATGCTTGCCACAGCCTCTGCTCCTTTCGAGTGGAATCCTTTACCTTGAGGCTTCTCTCCTATAGAAAAAGCGTTCAGCTCTGGTACTTGCCCGGATGACAGGGCATCTGCAATCGCAATCAAGCCTCTATCCCCGATATTGTTGTGAGACATATCAAGTAACTCAAGCTTCGATAAGTGTCCAGACTTGAGGGCTTCAGCTAGCAGGTCGGCACCTGCCAAATACAATTCACTGTTGTAGAGATGGAGCTCTCTCAAGTTGGACAAGTTCCCCATTTGAACCGCTTTGAGCAACTGTGTCATCGCAATCTCATCTACTTTATTATCTGACAAGGCCAAGATTTCAAGACCCAGAAAAGCTCGTTGCTGGAAAGCTCTACCGAGACCGATTACCTCAGAGTCCTCGCTTATTTGATCGTTCAGATCAAGCTCTATCATCAATTGCAGCTTCTCGATGAAGTATCCTCTGGCTGCGAGCTCTATCATTGTAGTCATATCCAGCTCCTCTGCTTGAGAGTAAGCGCTTAATCTACTCACTGCAGACACTGATAACATTTCACGAATCTCCTGAACGGAGGGTATGTTTAATTCTGCGTTCTCTCTCTCGAACGCCATGGTGAAGACGAAGACTCTTACAGAACTCAAGGCTGAGGCAGCAACAGGCAGAGCATTACGGCACAGAGATGAAGCGAGAACTCTGAGCTTGCAACAGAGGCGACTCGAGCCGAAAGAGATCCTGAGGAGGTATAGTATCCGTGAGACATTCTAGACATAGTAAGGCTGGAGCTGAGCTAAAATTCTCATTCCGCAAATTCCCGGAGACAATTCGATCCAGATGACAAAGACGTCACGCACTCTTGCATGATCTTCACAATTGGTCAGCAACTGGTGCCCAAGTAGCGTCAAGACGACCAATAGTCCGATGAACAGAGAAAGTACACAGGAAACGTTTCTTGCATGATCTGGTAAGTTCGTTCACTGCACCAAAAGCGCTAAAGAAGCCTCTCTATGCCGTGCCGGTGTCCTTTGTATGCCCACCCACTGACTGCTACGGAGCATGCATAAGCTACAAAGCTGTACCTCTAGGAAACAGCAAAAATTGTATTTTAAAGTTTTGGATGAAATCGACCGAGAGTCATCGAAATTAAAATCCTAATTTGCTCAGAGTTGACCTCTGGAGGCGATCGAAAAGTTGAAGATTGAAAGGTTACCATGGATTGACTTAGTAGCCGTAAAATTGTAACGACGCAGGTTAAACCGCGTGAAGTCAACTGCTTAGGTTGTACCATGTCTGCGAAACAGAGCAGATGAAAACATCGAATTGGCGAAGGTACAGGTGGGCCAGAAGAGGCTAGATGAACATCAACTTTACACTCGCGCCCATTCCATTCAGAGAATTCTCACTGCTTTCGATGGACAGGCTGTGCTCTCTCCAGGCGCACAGGCTGGCTGCTTCCCAGGTTTGTGGATACTTTCTGAATTCTGGCAAAGATCAATGGTTGATTTATTCATATGAGACTTGGCCTATTTTGCAGTCATAGCGGTGGATCCTCTGGCCTAACGGCGGCCCACATTGCTTGGCCATCATTGAATCTATTACGCTTTGAGTGTACGTGCTAAGTTGAGGCAGGAGTTCACTTTTTACAGAAGAGTGGTGCCAATATTGGTACATTTCTTTGGCTCCGATAACAAGTAGGGGTGTTTTCTGATCGCTCAGTAGTAGAGCTTAGGCAAACTCATGTTACAAAATTTTAGTTTACTAGCGGCATGGCGGCATATTTATTATATCGTACACATTACAGTAGGCATTTTGGGACAATGTCATCATTGAACCATTCTTTTCATGACATGAGCATCGAGTGTGAGCTTCATTCATCAATCCAATGATGTACTGTGCACACTAAAATTGCTGATATAAGTCTGCAGTGGTTAGCCACCAAGTCATGAATAATTTTCGTATATATATCACCATAGAGTGGTGCACACAGCATCTAGTATTTCAAATTGGGCAGATACTCTCTAACTCTATCCGTGAAGTCTATTGTGAATATTGGGGAATATGAAGCATTCAGGAAATACTGAGTAAACGATATCTTCATTTCTACACATAGATATTTAACGAAACGCATATCATCAATCATACAATCAACGTGGAATTAATTTCAACATCCTCCCATAAGTCGGTTCTCCTTATCTAAGAACAGTTTTTAGGAATCTTAGACATCCAGACAGAAATCTTTCACCGCTTGAGTCAATGTGGTCGCAAATGTCCAATAAAGGATGTAATATCAATAAACTACTGAATAACATCTTAGTATAGGCTCAAATTTATCCGATGAAGTGAGGTCTATTATGCAATTATTCAAAAGAAAATTTTGGTGGAAACTTTTCAACTGTAAAACATATAATATATTCAAAATCTTTTGATCAACTTTATAGAATATATATGAGCATCTAATGCACTGACGAGTATGCTATTATCAATGGTTATACTGTTTTGGGATAAAAACACAGTCATTATTAAACACAAGCTTTGGGGTGGTTTCTCCGTAGACAACGCCACCTAAGATATTACTGTAAGCCTTTAGAAAAAAATTCGTTTATTATTTGAGGTGAAGTATTCTTTTTATCATGTTGATAACTTATCTCAGAAGTTCCAGTTACTTTAATATTAACTACAACTATTTGGGATATACAAATGAAAAAAATGTGATACATTTTAGAGTTTTCAATCTATTTGGATGTTATTCTAAGAAATTTGTGTCAATTAAATTAGGTTTAAACAATATATATAAAAAATATTTTTACAAGAACTTTAAAAAAAATTCCAAATGAATTTTACTTTATTCTTTTTATATTTTTATTTTTTCAAAAAAATAATGTAAACTTCATCATCTGAATCTAGAAATCGAAATATAATCAATTAATTATTTGAAGGGAATTTTTTTCCCAAAACTTGATAGCTTATGGATACAAAGCTGCGATTCAGATTTGGATCTAGAAGTTAATTTGAAAAGATCTACAAAGATGGCATTACGTTGAGATGAATATTAATGATAGAATGTACGACAGTCAAATTCAAAGCAATGTTTATTTCCATTTCACTAGGAAATATTGATACAAACTTTCTATATTGTTATTAAATAGCAGTGAAGTAATATGAAACAGAACATTGGATAGTCCGTATGTATGAGCTATGATGCAATCGATGATATGTATCAACAATTTTGATCAGTAATATTCAACATCAAAGAATAGATACACTAACACCTGAATGCTCTGATTTTCACTTTTTATTTCTGAAATTTCCTTTGTGTTTGATATCATAATACTTTTTGATACATTCCTAGACATGTGAGATTTTTTTTTATCGTTCAACGTATGAAATAAAAAAAATATTTTTTGTTTCCAATCATGTGCAAGGTGATGGTATCCAATTCAGTAAACATAACCAAAGTTCAGAAAAATCAAATGGTAGATTTTCGTATCAAACTTAAAAACTATATGTTGGATTTGAGCTCAGATTTAGGAAAAATTCATACAAGATCAGGGAGATAGTATTTATTACGATTTTAAGAGGGTCATAATTTTGTTTTATTGAAGCTAAAGACAAATAATTGCATGTTTTCAAGCTTATTAGCAAAAAATCATATAAAAACACGTTTTTATCATGCAAAAAAACCTTCCAAATAGTTTGATTATGATTGTAGATTGATACTCAAAAATAATTATAAAAAAGTCAGTAATTTTTGAAGAGTTTGAATAAGCTTATTTCTTAGTTTAATATAGTCATTTTATAGATTTGGATATCTATAAACGAACGTCTTGAATATCTTTTCGGATAAATTTAATTTGGAAATACTTGCAAACTATTGACAGGCCTGTATATAAGCTATATCCAAACTTGCAACTGCATTTACATAATAGAAAGGCTAAATTCTCCATTTAAGGATATTTTTGTATTATTACTAATTTATAAATGCTCTTGCTTCCTGACCTTTTGTAATATCCTCCAACCTAAACTTAGCGACTTTCATTTGAATTTTTTTAAAAGTCTGTATTGGTATAGACCTTTGGAAACTATACAGACTTTAAAATCAACGTTGTGTGCTTGAACGTTGTGCTCACAATGAATATATGGAACCTCGCTTTTTCATTCAATCAAAGACGTTATATCTTTTCATGTTTGTCCCGTGTCTGATTAGATCTCTGGTCATACTTATTTTGCCGAGGAAAGAATGAAGAAGTATCTAAAAGTTCATCAAAGAGAGTTGTCATTTTCATTGACGACAAATATCATCATGATGCACCGTTTTGATCAGAGCCAAGCCTGACTTTCTGTGTGCTGCCATTCCCACAAAACTGCTTCGTGACGGACTGACATCGGCTGGTTGTACTCGACCAATAGTTACGCTAGACAAGACATCCTTCCATTCAACATAGCACAGATGTGGTTTGTTGTCCTTTTGACTTGATCGAGTCAAGAGTACATCGGAATTGCAAGCATCCGTTCCCGAGTAGGCCTAACTCCATCAGAAGTAAAGTACTAAAAATATTCTCCAAATTGAATAAGCAGATCTCTGTGCACTCAAAACTCAAGCCACGAGTGTTTTCTTTAAAGTTCCATTGCCGTCATGGTTGCAGTCAAAAGATATCCTGTCCTCACCCAGGCTTGCAAGTCTAATGCTCTGAAAGTTGTATATAATCTGACAACTGGTTGCTTCCTTGAACACTCGAAACCCACGTTCTGGACAACCTGAACCACAAAGCACTTCACTTTCTGTTAACATCATGAGGTATAGATTCCCCCCAAAACCGGTGGAAGTCCCGGTATGATATTGTCCACGACAGAGGTGAACTGCCTTCTATTGCACTCTAGCGCACCGCATACCGGTAAACATCATAAGCATGACCTCGTCTGCTTTTGCTAGTCAAACAGAAGCCTTTTGGGCAGTAGAAACTGCCCTACTCTGCAAGTTTAGATGCTGCAGACTGGTAAAAATTATGATCATTAGCTTCTGGCCCATTCATGAGCCATTTACGTCCAGACGAGTGTTGTCGGTGAATCAGAGTGGCAGGGGAGATGCATATGCAGTACCCTGTTCTTGCATGATCATGGCATTTGACGGAATGAGTAGAACATTCATCACATATTGTGCACCCGACCGCATTCTGTGCAACTCCTCATCCTCTGAGGATGATACGACAGTTTCAATGCACAGAGAGCATAACAAGCGCCCTGTCATCTCTCCAGAAGAAACATGTTGGAGCGGGGACCATGAATCTGCTTTGGCCAGTGCATTAGGGAATTAAGCTTGCCATAGGAGATGATGATCATGCAGATTGACGTCTGTTATCGAGGACGGGGAGTCTGCACCCGTATAAACGTGCACATGTTTCCACATCTATCCACAGTGAAACTCGGGTGCCTGTGAAAATACCAGATGGGAGACAAAAGGAGACCCGAAAGGCACTTAGACTTACGCTGTAGATATGGGACCACCACCAGTACTGGGCCCTCCAGCGAGCCTCCATAGACAGCTGCAAAGGTCTGACGTCTTCTTCAGACCCACATGGCTAACAATCGGGATTTCCGAGAAGTGTGGCGTTGCTCTGATTTTGGACTTTCTCGTCGCGCTTTGGGGATTCCAACCTGGAAATGACCCCGCTCTCAAGTAAACCACGAAAGCATAGCTCTGAGTTCAGTGTTCTGCAAGTATCTGCTTATGAAATTCTCTGGCGTCGATATATTTCTCTCCTGACCTTGGCCTAATTAACATTTCCACCTAGCCTACATAGACCTCAACTCTACTCTCCGGAGTATGTGCGATTCACTACACTTCGACCAGGACTAGAACCTCTATCCAAGTGTTCTCAGCGAACGAGATTGTTGCTTACCGACTGCAATCTCTAGCTGTCAAAGTGCACCTTTAGCTGAACGCTAGCATCGATGTCTCCTTTCTTATATAACTCGAGGCATATTCTTGGCCTGGAGGTTTATAGAAAATAACCTCTTTAAGGCACCTCGCTAAGAAACCGGGTACCGAGGTCGTTATCCCCTAAGCATCCTCCGCGAAGTTTACACTATTTTTCTTACAATAGCTGTCTGTTCAGCCGAATCTGACTTCACAGTGAACTACGCCCAAAATAGATTTCCCCTTCTCGCTGGAGCATCCCAGCAGCTAGCGATACACTTTGTCAGAGACCATCTGTTTACGTGCAGTGCTGTATGTCGTCGAAAGTGAGTTACTGTTGTCTCCAAACTAGCTGGAGCGGTTGTCTCCACCGCACAGTGGAGGGGAATGCTGAGACCGTCCCACTCCAGTGGAAATGGAGAGTCTGAGCCTGAGGCGGATCGGAGGTCTCGAGGGTGCTGCAGGAGCATGACCGCTCGTCATGGGCACAAACTGCCAGACGTCGAACGGGTCAACACAGGGAAGCTGCTTGAATCTTTTTGGATTCACCTGCGAGTCATCTAACAGGACTCGAGATCCATACCCGCCGCCAGTTCAGTCGCTCGGAGATTCGTTGACAAGTGGGTTCGCAGACGTGCTGACGTCGCCTGCGAGCCCCGTGCAGACCGGTGAAGTTCCCCGAGATTCCTCGATGTGCTAGCTGCTCGGCGCCGATGGAACGAGCATCCGAAGCTGCATGAGCTCCCGAAAAGTATCCGCTATCGGTCTCGCCCGTCTCATGTCTTTTCTGCTCGAGCGCTGCTGCGACTCTCGCTTTCTGCCTTTTAGCCCTCCCCCCACCCACTTCTTGGACGGACTCTTCGGCCTTATCCGAATTCGAAGATGAGGATGCCGATCTCGAGTCCGATCGATGATCGACAAGCTACGTAGGAGCTAGGACCCATCGATCTCTACAAGCGGTTCCTTGCTCGGCAAACAAAACAGGTGCTCATCGACGAAATCGATAGCCTCCAACAATAAATTCTGTTCTGCTTCGCGGACTTTTGAGAATATTGATATACGTGCTCGGAATCAGATGTTTGTCTAAATAACACGCAGACAGATCGATGGGGTAACACGGGAGCCTTTAAACCTGTGACACCTGTACCTCCGTCACATTATCGACAGCGCCGGTCGATGATCACCAGCGACACAAACAGTCGTGACGAAGATATTTAATCAGAGGTGAGCAAATCCACGGACTGATTATCGATTCCGCCGTGGTGGACCAGGGTCTGGGTGGGGGAATCGGACAGGACGAGATGTGGGAATATACTCCGGCGCCAGGACGACCAGCAGAGGTAGCAAGCGCATTCATAAGATCGAGAGCGGATTTGAATCAATTGTGGCATATGCAGCCGACGGTCAACATAATTTTGTTGGCCAATCTTATTTCTGTGCGATATAAAATTACATGACATTGGGCGGATCAGAAGAGAAGTCCGACCCGGGGACGTGATGACATTTTTCACGTTGGCAGCCTATTCAGCACTAGTGGACGTTCTTAAATTCTGATTAATGCTTCGGAGATTCTCCACTTCCTTTTCCACACCTTCGTTGGGCCATTTGCAGACGATTACTTTGGCGACCAGGGATGTGTTATTGTGGTATGCTTTGGCCAGAGCTTCCGCGCTCGATCGAGAGATGTGATGAAAATCTTCTATGGCGTAGATCCCTGACAAATTGGGGAGGTGCCCTGCTTCCAGTAACGCTGTGAGCTCGGACCAGCCCTTGTCTTTCATGCGGACATAGTTTAGGTACAAGTGCTCCAGACTGTTCAGATTGGAGGATTTGAAAGCCTCGGCCAGGGCGGCCACTCCCTCGTCCCCGAGCATGGGGCTTTCGAAAATGCCGAGCAGCGAGAGGTACGAGAAGCTTGGAGACTGGAGAGCTCGGGCCAGAGCCTTGGCGCCGTCGAGCCGAATTTTGCAGTTGCTGAAATACAGAGACTTGAAGCAGCCGACCATTCTGGATTCGAGCCCCTTAATGACGGCGATCACGCCCTCCTCCTCGACGATGCCCCAGATTTGGAGGTCCTCCAGGAGGGGCGAATTACCAGACTGGAACGCCCGCGCGAGGGCCTGCGAACCCTGAACATGAAACCCCTCGCCCTGGGTTTCGACATCGCCGCCTAACGACAGGGTTTTGATGGCCGGCACGTAGCCGGACGCCAGCGCATTGGAGATGGCCACCAGCCCCATGTCGCCGATATTGTTGTACGACAGTTCGAGATTTTGCAGGCGCGAGAGGTTTCCAGACTGCAGGGCCTCGGCCAGCATTATGGCGCCGGCGCCATCTATGCGACATTTGTACAGATTGAGTTTTCTCAAGTTGGACAAGTTGCCGGTCTCGATGGCCCGGGCAATTTGGGGCATGGCCAGCTCCTCGACCCGATTTTGCGATAAGCTCAGGATCTCGAGGCCCGGGAACGGGCGCTGCTGGAAGGCTCGGCCGAGCGTCGCCATTTCGTTATCCTCTATGAGCCTAAAATCCAGATCGAGCTCGGACACGGAGTCGAGTTTCTCCAAAATCCGAGCTTCCAGCACGCGAGCCTCGTTTATCGTTTGCCTGCCGGCAGTCAGAACCCCGAGCATCACAGGAATGACTACTTTGGGCGGCGGGTTGGCCATCATCCGCGCTTGCTCGTACGCCATGCTCTCTGGAAGGGGAAATGAGAGCTCGAGCAGCGCGCGTGAGGCGAACACGATTCACCGCAAGTAGCCTCAAGTCGGGAGGAGCCGACACAGAGCAATTGTCTGTGAAACATCCAGAAGATGAAGCAACACATTAAAGGGTTAGAACGCTGGCAAACGCTGAAGTACTGGCTGCGCTCGCATGCGTCTGCAGCTGCCAACTGCCCCCGGCGATGGTGCTGGGCCGGGCCTTAAGCTGGTCGAAGTCGAAGGCAGGCGGGCGGGCGGGCGGCGGGCGTCGGGCGTCGGGCGGCCTTCACAGAAGCAGCAGCAGCAGCAGCATCGTCGTCATGATCCGGCACTGGTCGTTGCTCGCTCGCTCGCTGCGAGCGATCGCGCTCGAGGGCAGTTCTGATCGTGAATTGTGTCGACCCTTCCGAGATGGAAAAGAGCCAGACAAATAAAGCATAACGAAACGAATCTATCTATCGTCTATTGATTGACTGACCCCGACCCGAGCTCACTCAAGCACTGCCCCCGCATTGCCCCGCCACTGCAGCTACGAAATCTATTGAGCCGAGCTAAAGGGTCACCGAGCTCTTACAGATTCAAAAGGAGAGCGCTTCCACTGGCCGCCCGGAGCCTCGACCTTTTCAAGCTGCGAAAGAGCTAGAGAGACCAACAATAATATAAATATTGCCTCCTCGCTCTCCCCCCACAGGACGCTATGATGAAACGCTAGCCAGAAGTCAACAATCATAGATCTAGAATGAGAATGATGACTGTGTGCATAATGTTTGAGAATTGCACGTCTCTACCAAATTTGCGCACCAACTGAGGGCTCGTCGTAGCAGGAACACCTGTCGTTTGCCCTCCCTCCGTTCGACTGTGATCCTTGCGATCGGCCATCTGACGGTGCTCGCCCTCGAGAATCTCGGTGGGTCCGGCGGAATATTACTCGCGACTGCGAGCCCTCCCTCACCTCCTCGCACTCGCTCACTCGCTCACTCGCATTCGACATACCTGTTAACAACAGACGTATCGCTAGCACCTTGGCGCTTTCCCGCTCTAACTCTGTCAAGTGAATTTCTCTCATCTGGGTTGCATCATCTTCTGACCCGAGTTCCCCAGGTCCCAGATCCTCGGCCACATCACCCTCGCCTACTCTTGCGCTCCCTTCCTTGTGGCGTAATTGTGCTGCGAACGCGAGGCTCCTACGATCTGAGGAAGTGGCCGAGCGATCGAGAAACAGTTGATGACCATAGGCTGGTGGAGGTCGCGAGTGCTAGCTATGTTGGGGAGTGCCCTATTGCTGTGGTATGTGCGAGAACATGTGCTTAATGATTGATCGGCAAATAGGCTCAAGTCTGTTGTCGGCCTAGTGAACAGGCCCAATCGTGTTCTCGAGAAAAAGGATTCTTTATACATAAAAACAGTTGGACACGTGCGAAAGTTGGACCATCACAGTGGCTACCGCTAGCCCCTGATCTTCAAAAGCAGTGTAACAGAAGAATCCGTGACCGGGGCCATACACTACCGGTTGATTCTTCATGATCAGTTCTTGAGAGCAGTCCCGGTACACTGAGTTTGTTCAGGTTAGAGAACCCAATAACTCGAACCAAGTCCCGTGATTTGGGTCAGGTTCTTCGCCTTCCTCCCTCTGAATCCAGGTGTCTTCTCTCTTATATCCGTGTGGGAACATCTCAGATCCAGGTATGAGCTATCTGAGCTGCCAAATTTAGAGATTGCAGCGTTGCTAAACTGCGTGAGGAAATGGGCCCGATCACCTCTCCCAGGTTGTAGTGAGATAGTGAAAATAGAGCAAACTCCTGCAGCTGCATAAATATACTGGTAGCAAAGATGCGCTTTTGGACCAAAGCCAAAAGTTCTCTCGCCCTAAACTGCCTTCTAACTGGGCACAGACACCAGACAGGTAGCTCGGGGATAGTACATAAATCCTATCCCCCTGGTCATCTTGAAAAGCGACTGACTGCGACCACTGTCGAGGTGAACGTCTTCTGTAGAGTCAAGATTGAATGCACTCGAAAGACTCTCGCATGGCAGACAATAAAATTTGAAGCACTTGGAACAATGTACAGCTGATTTTTTAAGTCTGAGATGAATGCGAATATTCTGAAGTGAAACTATCTTTAACATTTTCACACGTTGAAGTTTACTAACTTCGGATGCTACGGTAGTGTTGAAATGTTGCTGTCGATTCAGTTAATGAAGGAAAACTCTAGGTTCCAAACCAGTCATGCACTCCCAACACGTGACTTTCTTGAATTTCACGAGCGTCTTTGTCTCCAACACTTCGGAACTCCTCGGAATTGAGCACAACGTATTGTAGACAATCTGTCTAGAAAATCTCTAGACATTCTCCCGACCTTGTAAGGTGAGGTGTCTGGCGTTTAAAATAGTGTTTACATATCTTCACCTGTGTGTTGCAGGTCTGGTCGGAAGTTATGATATAAATTAAGTTCGGTATGACACCTCTGACACTATGGCCTAGCTCAACGAGTGTTTCTGAATGTCAGTCCTAGGGTATGGAGGTTCCATAAGCTCATTTTGAAATATTGATTACTTTCTTCTTCAAATTTCTGAAATTGTCACGGTTAGCGATGCATGCGTGATTAAAACAAGTCTTAGAAAAAGCACCAGCTAAGTAGGTTTAATTTAAGGGCAGGACTCGCTCCGAACTTATGTATTAAGGCTGACAAAGTCGTTTGTTCACTGCAAGAATCTTCACAGAAACTGTTTCAAGAATCTTCGACCAGGCTAAAAATTTTGGATTATTCTAAATTGTGTAGACCCGACGATGATTGTGAATTGAAGACGGGCCTACCATTACAGTGCAGAGTTCACTAACCGCTCCCTACGAGCTTAAGGATCAGTGACGTATACAGATAAAGTGTAGTTGCAATGGAATCAACCCGTTAGACGTCTCATTCGAGAAGCGAATCTCCTACTGAACACTCGCGACGTCAGGCTGGCCCACCTTTTTGTATGCATTCTATTGCTTAACCCACTGTAACACCTGCCTAGAATGTCGAGGAAAGAGCGTCCTCTGGTTTGTCCGATTAGGAAAAGAGAACCCATTCACATCTGTATGAAATATGCGGTGACCAGACGGAGTGAATATCCAAAACCATCATTGAGGACTAGCAAATAAAGAGCGAGGTTTTGCGTGTTCTAGTATAAACCAGTAAATCTATTCTACTGTGGCAAAATCTAGAAACAGTGGGTACTCAGAGACTGCAGCCGAGAGGTTATTTGTCATCTCTAAATCAAGTAATAAACTATGAAAATGTCTGCCTGCGGTGACTCGATCGAGTGAAAGTGTTTCTGTTTTAAAAAAATAACGACTTTGCCAAAGCACATAGAAGCTGGCCCTGAATCATCCATATAGCGTGTGTGCGGTGACTAGTACATGTAAAAGCACAACTCACGTAACCGGATTCGAATTGAACAAAATGCATTTCGATCCCGTCTCTGTGCTGATTATTTTTGCTGAGCTTTAGGAAGTTTCAGCAGTGGTGTAGTATCTTTTCATTGACAAGTTCTTCAACAGAAACTATTGACTCGGCAATCATGAAGTAGACACCATTCAAAAGATGACTCAAGCTGCTTGGTGTCTTCTGGGAATATAGCTGTCAGTTGAGAATCATAAGCTTCTGTTTGTGATGACTCGACCACGTAAATTGACCTTGGATGTTTATAGCTGTCATATTGTTTGTACTCGCACCGTCATGCTATGAGGAGAATGATTATGATTGTCTTCATGGGTGCGAGGACCTATGAAATGAAAGGTGCAACACTTTTGATGGCATATGTCGCAAACGTACACGTTATTGCTGCAGTCCACGGTTTTAAGAGTAATCTTAGGACAGATTGTATATTTCTAGATACATCAATCATTCCCTAAAAGTATATGGGTTGATGTGTGCATTGAGGTTGTGTGCCTTGGACATTCGAGATGCAAAATCAGGAGAAATAGTCTCCTTGTACTAGCGAGTGTCTGCACATGCAAATCAGACAACCATGTAGTCCAGCTCAAAACCACTTACATGACTTCCATGCTAATCGAACAAACCTACAAATGACGAAAAGTTCTCCGACATTATTTTAAATCTTGTATGGTTCTCTATTAACATGGAAATTTTCGTAAAGATGCCAAAATGTTTCTTCAAACCTAGTATAAAACGACTAGCTCTGGGTAGGTTGGACCGTACGAAAGTGAAAGCAGGATACTAACAGAGCCCGAGTTTCAAAGTAAAGATGTCGTGGATGGAAACTGTTGAGTGCAAACATTGCTGATCAAAAGGGTGGATCTAGTCTGTGGGACGACGAACTGAAGGCAAGGACTTCACAACCTTGGACTTTTAATCCATTGCAAACTCCAACCCCGAAATCTGTTCATGAACTCGAATATAGTGTTCTAGCCATTCGGAATCAAAAGTATCAACGCGCCGACCGAAAATGATGCTATGAACTGTTCTCTGAACAACAAACTGCAGTCTGACATTGGAGGAATACGTAATTTGCCGTTCACAATCTACCTATTTACGAAACCATGGTTCGAACGAAAGTCTCGAACAAAGGCCGTTGGATTTTCTATTACTACAACATCGTCTTTTTAAAAAGTGCAGCATTACATTGGAAAAGACACAATATTTGACCTTTGCCATGAATCATTGTTGAGGACATGGTGTTGTTAGTAGACTCCAATAAAATATAATAAAACCCTCTTGCTACTTGTATATCAAAAATTTCTTGAGCTCTAATGGTGGTTTGAAATCCTTTAACAGCTACCATGAATAACTTACAATATGTGTATTTTTTATGAGCGTCGTGTAGAAGAGGAACTTGTTCGTTAGCCAATATAGATAGATTTCTGAGTGAAAGAAGTTTTCCAGAGACCTCTACAAGCTTCATATCTTGTTTTTAACGACTCCAAATCTCCAAACTGGCGAAGACATCTGTATCCACAGACAAGTAAAACTTCGTTTACAGAGCTGAAGTTATGATCCTTTTCTAAGAAGCATCATTATCAAATGCAACAGTATCAGTTAGATACAAGACGGGCGAATCGAACTTGTGTTGTAAAGCTTGTGTTAAACATACACGTTGTTGATACTTGTTGATTTCCCAATACAATAAGAGAATCCAGACTCACTTGAAGACAAAGCGGATCCTGATGCTCCTGACCCATGGAGAACTCCGCTTAAATGAATCCAAATATAAGATAGAAATCTAAATAAATAGTAATACTTAAATATGATTGCTTATCTTTTAGTAAGAACACTCCTCAGTTCGACCTTTAAACGTGCAACGTGGATAACAAGTTGAGGTTCCTAGGACAATTCCTCGAATCATGCAAGAAAATAGAAGATTAAAATTGATTTTAGTTCTGTGAAAACGTTGCTAAGGTTGACCTCAGAGTTCAGAAAGTAGATAGTAGTTGAATAAATACCTATCTACTTTGAATACCATCCTAAGGGCGAACTCGGAAATTAATGCAGAATTAAAGAAAAAAATTCTGTTCAAAGAAAAAATTCTGTATACTTCAAAAATTTCAGCTCAAGTCGGTCCACTCATGCTATGAGTTATCGTCCAGAACTTCCATGCATATCATTTGAGTTTAACAGTAGCGTGTGTTCCAGAGTGGAACTGATAAGGAAGACATTCCAGGATAGATGAATTGTACACTTATTATTGCTCGACTTCTGAGCTAAAAATACATAATCCACTTTATACAATTAACAATATTGGGCTTTGGGGAAATCCAACCACCTTAACTAATGCGTTATCGCTCATAGGGTCAATATCACCTAGACAGAACACATTATGTGAGCTTTTGTCTAAGAGATTATGAGGCTTTCACCTTTGAATCTCGGTATCACCAATATGTCAAACGTAATTGTTAGACATAATGGAGTCTGAAGAGACAATCTCTAGGAGCTTTTGATTAGCTTCAAGTTAAGAACAAAACTTATAATAATTATCTGACGAACCTCGAGTGGACTTACTACGATGCATCCGGAATATTCAGCCAATTCCAGATCAAAAACTTCGAGAAAGCATTTGACATATTCTACGATTTAGAGTTCAAATACACGAAGCAAAGGAAGTCCTAATTCCACGTACATCCAGATTGGTATAAGTAAAATCAACATAACTGATAGACATCTGTATAGCTGCTCCCTGAAACTTTCCCTTACTGATAGCACTCTTCTCATAGAAAATAGGAAAATTTCTGTATTACATCCAAGAGCTTGAACTGACAGTAGGTCTCTGGGTTTTTTTACATTTTACAGTAGATCAGAAGAGACCATGACGGCATTCAAGCATAAATAAGTACGGACAAGTCCTCAAGAAATGTAGAGTAATGTTGGATCGATGCTCTGAAAGCTATGATTGTCAAGTATACTTCTATCATCGGATGGGGACGGACATTCACCAGAATGAGTATCCTCAGTATCGTCAAACGGAGAAGATTGGCAGCTCCCATAATTTACTGGTCCATGAAGAGAAGCCTTGATCCAATCTATTCTGTGGTTCAATTCGTTCTGTATGTTGTTCATGATATCCTTTTCCTTCGAGCGCTCTCTATCAAGAGCATCTTGAATTTTTTCCAGCATGCCCAATGCATTCGCCCGAATCTCTGGGGGCAAGTTCTGTTTGTGGTGCACGAACTCCAGATCTGCCAGTAGAATCTGCTCTTCCTTCTTCGAATTCTCCACAGCTTCGTAAGCTTCCCCCAGCAAGAGAAGAGCCGACTTTGATGCTTGGCGATATTGTTGAAGCATCTCCATGGCTTTCTCATGAGCAGTCCTCAGAGTTGCATGCTTCGAACGATCAGCGGCATATACCGATTCCAGATAACGAGCAATGTTCTTCAATTTCCCTTCAGTTTCAGAATCCAAAGAGATGGCGAATGATGCTTCTATTATCTCTTTTGCTATGCGACAAAGCTCATCCAGCATCAAGGATTCTGCCATCGTTCTCACAAACGAGTCCAACACCTCTTACATCTTCAGATGACTGGCCATTGCAGGAAGATATATATATATATGTCGAGTCATGAACCAGCAGGTTGAAGGTTTACGATTTTCCAATATCTTCTACACCTACCTAGGAGTCTTTGTATGACAAGACACGATGAACGGATGAGACAAAGAAACCGGATGTCAAACTCACGTGTTATTGATGAATGCATCATACGGCTGCCAACAAATATACGTGACCTTCTCCGTTACAGTTTTGGTGACATTTCAGAGTCACTTCTGATTTGATTCTTCTGCGGAATAAATATTTTCGAGCTCACTCATCAACTTCACGGAATGAGCCAGAACGCCCGGCATAAGGATGAAAAAACCCACAAGACCTTTTTTTTATTTATGTTTAAACTTCGAGAAGACAAATCATATCCAATTATCTAATTGGAGGCATGAACTTATTCAGATCTTTGCATACAGTTCAGAACAGATGAATATTTATAGTACATCACCGGATTCCATCAAGAAATTTAAAAGTACTTTCATAATGAAGTGACTGATATCGAAGAGTCAAACCAGTGGATAAGTGCAACATTTGGTTTCAATAGAGGGTATGAGTATAAATAAGATCCACGAGTACGAAAAAATATACCAGTCATAAGATGATTCATGCTTCTTCTTAAGCATTTCAGTACTCATAAGTACTTCCTTTGAAATCCACTCTCAAACGGTATCCTTGGATTCATGGCTTATCTGTTTGCTGAAAGGTACATATAGTCAAATGGAAACGGTTTTAACCGTCAGAAGCCACAGAAAGTCGATTTCGATTAAACAAACAAAAACCACATCTGACAGCTACAGATGTTTCTGTCCTTGGACATTCTATCCCTCAACAATTTTTCTATACGCAATCAATTTCAGCAGTTCTTTCAAGGAATAAACAAGAACGTTACAACGAGTAGGTTCTTGTACAACATGCATACAGAAACTTTCTGAGGTCCTATTTGAGAACTCTCTTAGATATCAAGTCAATCCAGTGATTGCATATGCTTCAAACTTTCCTGCCTAAAGGATAGTGATGGAGATTAGCATTTGCTGAGTTGATACTATTCATATAGTTGCATGGTCCTTCTTTACGGCGCACCATTTGCAACTTACAATGTACTGGATAGATGAGTTCACCTACCACATGTAAACCATCCACTTGTTTCGGCATGTTGTATTTAAGTACGGGAACGATAGGTCGCGCCAAGCTTTGAATGAACTGCAGTTGATATGTCACGAGAACTATACTGTAACACTGATCAGGCCTATCGTAGAGCTGTGTATAGTCGTGTTGACCACGTTACGGTAATTCGTCGGAAAATTGAACAGAGAGACTTCAAGAGAGTGAACTACCAAATTTTGTTTCACTTCAACTTCAGGTTTCTCTGTTCAATTTTCTTCTTCAAGCTTCCTACGCTTCCTAGTCGATGCCTGAGAAGATTGTATGAAAAACTTAACTGTCCAGGATGCAATTTCTCGATCTGAAGGGTTGGGTATCGTTAACTCAACCTTTATTTTCATCGACGACCTTTCTTCTCTAACTTGTGCCTTTGGAGATCCGTATTGAAGTCGCATCTACTCAAGGCACTGGAAAAACTGAAACAATGTGTTAAAAAAGGCTCTTTGTGTAGGACTAGACATCCAAGTTTTATTCATCGTATATCAATGCTTCAAGATCCATACCGATCGAAACCGAAAAGATCATAATTTTAAATACTTTTTTTCGAGACGTAATATGGATACTGGATTCTGGGATGAAAAATTCCAGACCTTCAGATTTCGCTACATCGAAAGAAAGATACATCGCAACGGACGAGTGTTCCTGAGAATGAACATCTTACAATCTGATTCATTTACAGGAAGGGCTTATGAGATTTGTGATATCTAGGCCAGAGTCTGAACTTTGTCAGTGCCATGAATCGGACTTTCTTGGCGGAGTTTGTGCGCAGTTCAAGAGCAGAAAACATAAATTACATATACCCGTTGAAAAAATTGATAAATGGGCTTGTTCGCACACCTTGTTTTACGTGTTAATCCGAAAGGGATTTTACAAGTGTACATGTGCATGCATATTCTCTTTATTCTTAATATTTGTCTAGCAATGGACCAGAGTTTGTTCATTACTTCCACAGAGGTTCTTTGCCTCCCACTTCATGCTTTCAAAATATTTAAATGTTACAAAAATTTACATTACGTTATCACAAGCAATGTGATACCGTAATGCTTTTGTTGTCTATGCGCAGATGACGTGACTCAATCACATACAGAAACACATTATTGTATAGCTCTATGTGATACTATCTGATGAGCATAAAAATGACGTGGACACATATTTATCCAAAATATATGTCAACAACTTACAAAGACTTGACTAGCGGAGATATCATTTAAAGAATGTGATTCTATTGTTTCAATATAAGTCAAGAAGGATGTAAATGAGAATTATAAGAATGTACTCAAATGTTATAAACATCAATCTATCAAAAAATAAACAATTCAATTATAAATATGATATAAATTATCTTACAAAGATCTTTGGTGCGAATGTACTGTTAATATTTTCTGCTTGTTGGATTAACAAGCAAAGTATCATCCAGTTCAGATTTAAAATGAGAATAAGAGAAGAAAATCCTTTAAACGGTTGATTTGGATGGCAATGATGTGTTTCATCGACATATTATTGTCGATGAAACACATATTATTTATTATTCAGGCTATGATTTATCATGCAGAGAACCAAAATATTAAGGAAAATATATTGAACATGCAAAGAACAACATTGGGTGGCTATGCCCAAATCCATGGGTCTTGGATTGCCATGAGTTTGACATTATTGTCAAAATCATGTATCGGCAGGATGATTATTGTTTCCAGGTGGGTATGGATGGACATAGTTTTCAAATTGATACAAAATCCATGCTCATGAATAATGCTTGAAACATGGATGCTGACTTGTTTGTCATATCAATAAAATGTAATAACATGACATGTATTAATAACGTTGAATTCACGGAGTGCACAAAGATTATATATTGCGCAAATTAAATCGCTCCATCCTTGCATCAGATAATACTTGCGAATCTTCCACATACCCATTCTTGAAATTTTATCTGTTATTGTGTTCTTGAAAAATCTAGCTCTAGTTCACTAAATGCACAAAAGATTGAGAAGTAACTAAAGAATACATTGTCAAATGATGATCGGCGCAATTTGAATAGCATGGTTGAACATGGGTGGTCACAACTAATATTATGGGTGAACATGGATGGTCATAAGTGGCTGCTGATACTTATGGTATGGGTAAAAAATTGAATTAAAATGTTGGACTCTACTAACTGACATGATAGTGCCTAATATATACAAATTTGTAGTGCTACAACAATGGATCATGAAGACACTTGCATGCAAGATGTATTTGGACAAATGATTCCTAATGAAATCAATAATCTCGCTCAATCATTTCTAACAAATGATATTTTCTATCGAAGTATTGTATTGTATCATCATTCAATCATTTGGTTAACATCACAATCAAATAATTTGATATCTTTTTAAAATTAAAATAAAATAGTGTAAAAAATATGATAAAAGCAGTCATAATTTGAAATTTATTCATTTTTTTCCATTTAAATGAATTGCAAATGACATAATGTTGATATTAAAGAATAAATTCATCATCTAATAAACTATGTTAGAAACATAATCTCTTCAATTATGTCTATCAACATTCTTGTTGTCTATTACATTTGACCAAAAATGAAAGTTTTCTTTTTTTGCAGCAATATTGAGCTTTTGAATATTGCCACACTTCCAACATAACAAGATTTTGAATCTTTGAATGTACGCTTTGATGAAGATTAAAAATCTAATCATTTTTTTTGTCTTTATCTTTCATCATTCATATTGGTAAATGATAATTGATATATAGATCAAGGACACGGTATCCAAAGTATCAAAAGCTAAAAATACACCTCAAACATTTAGTAACCAGGAAAGAGATACTAAAGATCAATGCCTAGCTAGTGCTTTTGGAAGAAGCTACAGGTTGTTACTCAAGAAATGAATTCAGAAAATGAATAATATTTCTTTCATCAAAATATATTTCACAAAAATTTTGCAAGCTCAAAATAAGATAAAAAAATTCATCATCATTATTTTTTGTCTTTGTCTTAAAATTTGATCTTTGTAATCATCAGGTTCAAGCCGTCTAGAATATGATTAGTGACATTTTTCCTTCAAGATTTCTTCTTTAGGTGCATACAAGAAAGTAAGATAACTTTTATGCTGCTTGACTGATTGATTACATGAGACTAGAGATTAAGACAATGTATTCATATCTAAGTTATTCATATCTTTTCATTCATCCTAAAACATCGTGTTTTTTCAAACCATTAGTTTTAAGCTTGTATTTTATCTCAAACTTCCAGAGAACATTATCAAAATGTGCATTATCTTGTTAATAATGAATTTGGTACCACAAGTTTTATAATTGCTATCTTTTTGAAAGCAAACTTATTGATTACTTGTTAAAAAACTTACAATCTAATTTACGTTGGTCAAAATATGAAAAGCTTCTTCTTAGAAATCAAGGAACAAGACTGATTTCATAAGCAATCTAAACGTTCATGACAAAGCAGTGAATTAATATCTTTTCTCCCTACTCATAAATATTTTTAATTCCATTAAATATGAAATCCGATGCAAACAATTAGTCAAAGGAGGCTGGCTAAGTAATATGATTTTAGGTGGCTATTTGAATGTGACATAGCATAATCTACTTTTACGTAGGGTTTGTAGGTTAATATTATACGATGCGGATTCTGTCTTTGATTTTTAAAAAAAATAATTTATTGAGTTAATTCCCTCTTGTACAGCAGATTTGATCACACACACTCTTAAAAAATTATTGATGAAAAGGTTTAAGAAATAGGTGTTCTGTGTATGAAATGAGATGTTTGATGTATGGTTGTGGTCGAGCATCATTCAGAATATCTACATCAAAACTACATCATATTATTTCAATATTGCATCACATTTCTTGTCAATATGTACATTTTCAACATATGTTGATCAAGTTTAAAAATTACTCCAATAACATATATCATATCTTAATGCTGGCTAATAAACAAACCAAGTGAAATAGTAATTACTAGCTTTGATGACTTAAATATCCTTGATTGAAAATCTAAAAATATGTTGTAAATTTAATATGATTCAGCATCACTAACATATTCTATCACATTGAATAAACTTGGATCACAAAATATGGTTTTGGTTTTGAAACAAATCTATGTGAAATTTACATCATGTAGTTTTGAAAATGAAAGATTTTGATGTGCAATTTGGAAATTTCAAATGTAAAAAAATAATTCCTTTCATCTTTCATAATTTTATGATTTTGTTAATCCAATTCTGGTTTCTGGATAAGTTGGACACATATTTATTATGATAAAAGATTCAAAGACCATTGAAGGAAGAAAATCACCAGTCTTCAAGACGAACTTGCATTGAAACGCATCAGGTTCCTATGTTCAGATCCTGAGTTGTAAGAATTGCTCTTTTGTTGAAACTTAACACGCGAGGTGGTTTTCAGGGTTTAGGAAAGAAACGAAAGCAAGGAGCTCGGCTTACAAATTTGATAATTTGGACTCTGAGACTGGAAATGCTTTCACAAAATTAGTCATGTTTATAGTGTTTACAACAGTTGATAACCCTTTTGCTGTAGACCCTAAGTGTACTTTCTGTTCTGTAGTGTACTTGCACTGTTTTTTAAGCTGTGGACCCTGAGTATCACATCTAGAATCATCACTCTATTGAGCTTCTACATAACTGAAGTTCATCTTATATACTTGACAGAAATACGGCCATAAAATCCTTTCCGTGTGTTTGGAAGCGAATACCTTGGAATTATACTGTGAAATTACTTTACCTTACTGCAAATACTGTCATCCAAACTGGATTAAAAATGAACCAAATAACTACACGTCTTCTCAATACAAAGTGGCACCATCATACTTTACCTGCCTATCCTGTGATAGGAAACGAACCAAACTCAATTGAAGGAACCCAAGGTACAAAGATCCAAAAGGCGCCATAAACAAGATTGCAAACGTACTGAAAATTAGGACCGTACGAAGTGAACTTTAGAAGCCGAGCACAACAAATGACAACCAATGACAACCCAGACGAAGACTGTCCCTCAAGACATTTTAAACTAGCTATACGGTTCTGTAGATCCGTTTTGGCCGGTCCGAGTGCCCATTCACTTATATCTTCATTCTTGTATTGTATGCTGTTCTGTGGCCAGCATTTTCTTTCGTCCATCGAAAAATGTCGTTGAAAGCTGTTGATAGTACTAGCCTAACGATACAGACTGGTAGGATTATGGTCTGAGCAGTTTTTAGGCTACCTTGTAGTTCACAATCTCCGTGTTCAATGCATGGAGGTTCTGACCCTTCAAAATTCATCAGTACTGTCAAATTGCCATTGTCTCCTTCAAGGTGTTTATAAGTTGGTGTCCAGCTGAAGGTTTTATTCAGTTAACAGCAGATTGATTTCTCTTAATTTGCTCGTTCATCAGGACGATTCCTCTAGACAATCGTGAGAATTAAAGTTCTGAGCGAAGTGAGATCGAGCTGCTCCATGGAGCATCCGGACCTTTTGTACGCATCGTTGTTTGGTTGTATTTCTTAGACTACTGTCCCTCTACTTCTTCTACAAGTATGCGAACACAGATTTCTACAGCTACTCGAAGTTCGTGAGCAGTGTCCAAGATTCTTTGAGTCATGTTTCGGTGCCGTTTTGTCCCATGGCAGTAAGCTGGAGAAGATCCGATGACGATGCAAGGGAACGTCACGTGCATTGCGAAGAGGGAGGAGCAGTTTTTGTAGAGCCAAAGTCGAAATATGTCAGAATTGGATCACTATAAAGCTCCACCTTTCACACTTTCCAGCGATTTGATCATAACCCGTTTGGACCCGAGATTTCTCAGCTATTTTAAACAATCTGCAGCAGATGATAGCGATGGGAGTCGTGTGAAAGGATTGACCAAAGTTGTCACTCAACAGCTAAAAATATTCACGTGCAACGCTGTTTGCAACGCTTTCGCTGCAAATCAATTGGCCCTTGACGGTTGTTCCTTGGACCAGTTCGTAAGAGCTCGGAGGGAAACAGTTATTGGTCTTCGGCCGTCTTCGGCCGTCTCCCACTGAGAATCAGATGGGTATGTTGACCGTCGTTCCATATCCAGCTTGCTGAGCAATGCTGATCGCTGTTTGGAAATTTGCTTCGAACAAAAGATGCTGGTACCATGTCACACCGATATGTTTTAAATACGGAACGATGTATGGCAGAGCTGAAAAACGAGGAGAGGGAGATGGAGACTGACCAGTCAGAAGCTCCCGATGAGCTCAGCACTTTCGGTTGTGTCACTGCTAGAGTCTGTCGTTGCCTTGTCAGGCTTCGATCAACGGATGTAGCAGGTAGCGATTAGAAGGATGTCGTTCTCAGGCTCGGCATCGAAGGCAGGCAAAAGTTCTTCGATCCTCCACAAAGAGCAATTTGGCAAAGCAGTTGTACCCGGTCCTGTTACACCTTTCTTCCGAGGAGTTAATGGCAAGGTCCGCTGGATTTGCAGCTCGCATTACTCTGTATTTGTGAGGAAATACAACTCACAAACGTTGTTGGAAGCTGTATTGCACATAAGTCACGATCTGCCAAGTGAAGTTAGAGAAATGACGCAATTTGGAGCCGAAAGCAGGAAGAATAACCGTAATGTGGTGCTCTCCTCCCATCAGCCTTTGGATCTCGATCGGATTTCGTTTTTCAGATTTTCGTCCTTGACTATCACTGGTTGTTCTATCTTTCTCAAAGGTTTGTCTTTCTCGTCTACATCGTTTGTGTTACGCGTACATTATTTGCCTGAAAAGGTTGAAGGAATTGCAATGAAACTGATTTCAAGAGCATGCTCAGAGAACTTGCTGAATACAGTTGGACGGCTGAATCTGTGGAAAAACATTTGACACTGAAATCTTAAATCATACTTTCCTGTTTCTTGAATTTTGAATAGTACATAAACACCTTCTAATTGTGAGTCATAAACTTCAATTCAATTGTTTCGAAGACAACGGTACGCAATTTTCTCGGCAAGATTTCAAGATGCACTTTCAAGGGACTCACGCATTAGTTAGTGACTTGACACTTCATTTAACGGTAAGATCCGGAATGGTCACGTGCAAATACGAGTCCTGCAGCGGACATCTCGACAAGAGCAAATAGGGGAAAGAAAAAACAGGGGAAATTAACCATCTACTTTCTATAAAGTGTCCTGCTAGAATGCTAAGCCAAAGATCTGACTTCATCACAAGTGGGTTCGATTTCACAAACATCTGATGGAACGTACAGGAATACTCCAGCGTTGAATTAGTGTATTTTGGAAAATTTCTGAAGCCGATCAATATAAAACCCAGTAAAGAACAGAGGCACGCGTGTGGAGTTCGCGATGTCCCATCAACCTTCAGTCTACAGTTCGGCTGACAATGTTTATGGGAAGTTGAGCTATACATCCCAATCAAGGTAAGAAGGGGCAGCCTGAGTACAATTCTGAGTTGAAGAGGGAAGTGCCTTGCATAATCTTGCAGTTAGAGTCCGGATCTTAATGTTGTACAATTTATATTCAGAGGCAGAGCATAATACGTCCATGTCATCGGTGAAATCTCGTCGTTCAAAAATTTGGGTAGCAGATGGTTACCGTAGTATTCTAGTAGTATCTAGACACTTGTAATCAGAGTTTGGTCCGATTTTGGTCGCAAACGAGATTTCAAAACGTTTACCGGCTCTTAGATACATATGGATATATATCTTATGTATTCATCTGGAGAACATTGGAAACATTGTAAACTCAGGTTTCTATGTACATAACACTACCATTCGAGATATATAGACCGAGGTGTCTCTAGGAAACAGCTTGAACATGTGACTCTGACTGATAGTACTGACTGATAAGTCTGAAAAAAATTTCCTCATTGAACGAAGAGCGCAAATCGCCTGGAGAATTGTAACAATCTGACTCACGTGCTAGCTGACAGTTACTAAATTTCAGATTCCAGAGAGAAGAGAACAAAAAGTACCGGTATACAAGAAGCGATTCATATTGTAACAAATTATTCTTAGATGCTTTACATTTGAAATCAGTTCAACTACAGTGCTGTTGTGAAACTACAATTCCCAGTCGTAATCTGCTCTGTAATAGAGCAACAAATACACGCGTGCATCGTAAGTCAGTCAAAATCTCGAGGGCTGATAGTACTGGAAATTCGACCTTTCAAATCTCAATGCACCTAATATTCCCGTATTTGTATAGATCAATTCCTCCAGAAACTTCATTGTGGCACTCATACACTTCGCGTGCTCTTCCAACGTGAGATCTACAAGAACTTCAGATAGATCTTGTGGATAGTAACATAATTTGCTGGGTTGGTGTCGTCAACGATTTCGCTGATATCATACCCGTTCGCGTATCGGAAAATTCCAGTTCCTCCCACGACTGCCATTTCCCTAGGCCACACGTTCAAGGCGAATTGACCCTGTACAGCAAGAGTTCCATTGCCTTCTGGACCGCTGATGGTGAAGGTGTAGCTCACGAAGATGTTCTGTTTGCCGATCGTGACGAAACCGGGCTCCACACCGATCACTGTAGAATCGTTGGAGGGTCCGTCTTTCAAGACATTGCTGAAGACCTGAATTGAACCAAACCCAATCTGACTAAGGTTTCCAGTCGCAGTCACTACTGTGATCAGAGTTGGATTCGGTGGTACACGACTCTCGTGCACATAAAGTGTCAACATTTTTTCCTCCTTCTTGCCCAATACCAATGCGGGCATGCAGAAAATGCTGCACACCAGGAGTATCTTGACGACAATCTGAGACACCGCCATGTTTCTGCTGAAGGACTCTCTCTCGAGCTTGAGCGAAAACTCTGTGTCAAATGTGAAGAAGTCTCTTGTGACTTTGAAATTGAAACAGTTTGAAACTGGCTTGAGACGAGTCCAAACTCGTCTGAGATGAAGAAACTTGGATGGCTGATGAGAAAGCCAGAATGGCCTGAATGTTTTATACTCTGCATCGAGCTAGCTCAATTTGGTTTAGACCGGGCGTCCTTGTGTATCTTCTATTCGCTCGGGGAGGTTAGCATCACGTGCTTCCTTTCTAGCAGAGATATTGAAGAGTTGGTAAGGTGGGAAATCACTTTAGCAATCGTTAGATCAGTTGAATAGTGTTTACTGGAGCTTGTTCATAAACTACGAACTGACAGTGTTTCTGCAGCACAGATGCTTTGATTTCATACGTTGTATTGAACTTGGAGCTCAGTAGGAGAACACTTTCGACTTTGTAGTAATCCTTCGTTAAGGCAGAGGGCAATCAGAAGTCAAAACATGTATGTGAGGCCGGGGTTGAGCCACACTGAGCTGTTAATATACGTTCCATTACTCAAATTGTTGGTGAGAGGGTGAGCTAGCCTATATATGCCCATAGGGTAAACTTCTGGTGGCGCTCTTACATCTGGAACTCTTACTGTCAGAACAGGAAAAGGTACAGTCCCTGACTTGATGAAGAGTTCCTCTTGGTCACTCTTGATCACTCCAAGGGCCGGAGACCAGGATCCATCACATACAAGGTGTCCAGTTTTGCCTAAGAATGAGCTCAATAGACTTTAAAAAAATAAAATTAATTCACGCTTGAAAATGGGCATGGCTTCTTACCTAGGTCGAGTATTGAGTAGTAAATATTATTTAGAGATATAAGAAAAGAAGCCGATAATATGGAGTAAAATATGGGAATAAGTCATGAGATCGTTCATGGATGAATGGTTAGGATTGGGCAAAAAACTATAATTTCATCGCTCAAAAGTATATTAACAATATACTATCCCAATAATCATCGCCTAACAAAATTGGTTTTTCATGCACTGCGAAAAGCCTGTATATCATATAATTCAATATATGAAATAAAATCAAAAAATTTATATCATATAACTCGTAAAAAAATGAATTCCTAATCAATAATCTAGTATGGTAGTAATTGAATCATTTTTTCGCGTACTTAGCTTCAAAAGACTCTTATAAAGAATGATAAAAGTATTATATCTCATAAGGACCATGATCTTAAACCTAGATATTTCATGTCATAATAGATAATAATCTTATAAATTATATCATGGATAATTCTTTCATATATTCCAAGTAGAGATATACTAGTTCAAAATTATTATCTCCACGTTACTTGCATACTCCAAATCGTTACTCTTGCCACTTATTCTATAAATAATAGCCAAAAACATTTATAGACGAAATCAGCAAAATACTTGTTAAATCTACTATCACAAGTTTGGTAGTGCTTTTTATATATGCAGATAGTATTGTATAATTTAATAACAATAGATTTGTATACATCTCACTCTCAACTAAACAGTCCGTGAGAATATTACAAAATTGTGCATCGAGACTTTGTAGAAAACAGATATTTTACTTTTTATCTTGGTAAAGACCTGCATAAACTATGAATCCAATGGCTAAACAACGCTAAAACAAAAATAGACAGAATGCAACGCCAGGAAAAGCAATGCTCAACAAGCAAGAGCAACGGGCCAAATAGCACCAGACTGTCGTGAAACATCCAACCCCCAGCCTAGAAGCATAACTAAGCCTCGGCAAGGTAAGGTAACCCTTTAGGGTTACCCGGTAAAAGTGTAAAAGGTAAGGGTAAAGGTAATACATTTGGCTATAGGGTAAGGTAAAGGTAGGGTAAAGGTAGAGCCTCACGGTTTACCAGGTAATTACCGAGTAACCTGTGAAAAAAAAATGTGGACATTCTTCTACATATTCTCCTTGAACAAACCTACAACCAGATTCAGCAATATTGTGCGATGAAGTCAGGGAACTGTTTCAACTCTTTTAGACTATACTTGCGTCTGCGAAGCTAAATTTGCAGGACACTGCATGATGTTACTAGTTTGAGTAGAAAAGCCATCACTTGCTGCAGTTTTGTAATCCGACGACAAGGTCTTTTAATAGAAGTCATAATAGCGTTGGCTTGAGTAGTTGTTCGGCTCAGTTATAATGCATAGATCTTCTACCTGTTTTTTATTCTAATTAGATCTGAAATTAAAAAAAAACTAAAGAAGATATACCTCTTGTCAACGTTAAGAGTCAGCATGGCTAGGTTCGACTTGAATCTTATGGTCGAGTGAAGGAGACTTCAACTTTATCTCCATCCGAGTGAACCAGTTGAAAATAGGTTCCACTTGGATTGAAAATTTTCGGTCAAAATGAGATAATTTAGTATCTAAAATGGGGGAAAGCCGCTTCTAATGGCTACGGAGTTCAGTCCTTCATTTATACTACATATAACAAAATAATTCATGTTTCTCAGGATTGAGGTATTCTCCCTCCTCTATCTTTGTTTTACACACACTCTCTCAAGCACTAATGCTAAATAGGAAGTGAAGAAGAAACTTAGAAGTAATAAGTATCTGATCCATTGGCAACATTCCAATTCATGTCCCAATATCTACAAAGGAAGTGGTTATTCATCGACAACGAGGCAGTAGACGTCTCATAGTGTTACGATAGAAGATCAACATGTAGCTTAAAAAATGCATTCAAAGAAAACCAAAAACCGCATACCCCCAGCAGAATCTTTATATGATGCGTCCAAAATTAAAACTTTTTAAATCCTTACCAAGTAACCGGGTAATTACCCTGAGGTAGAGGTAAAGGTAGACCATAGTGTTACGTGTAACGTAAAAGGTAGAGTAAAGGTAGAGGCCCATACCTTACCCCGTTACCTTTTACTTTACCTTGCCGAGGCTTAAGCATAACCACAGAAAGAGGTAGACACCAACTCCACCGACCAGAAGTTCATCAAGCCCGAACCGTGAAACCACCTCGAACACCAAACGAAGAAAAGCCACGAACCTAAGGCTCACTTACCAAAGCTACAGACAGAAAGATCACTCAGCAGAATAAAGATTGGAAACGGATTGGACTGGAAAGGGCTGCGAGAGAATGCCGGAAAGAAGCCCCAGGGCCAGAGTTCCAACGAAAACATGTTCGAACGAAACAGTAAGTCTCACATCTCAATCCAGCCCAGAACCACTATCCTACCCTTAGCTGACAAGCATATGTTTGAGAGATGAAACTTCGAGCAAATCTGAATAACTACCAGCCGTATCGCAGAAGGTGAAAATTTTTTATCTTGCACCATTTACAAGGTAAATGCACTCAACTAGGTTCTTATATTGGACGGTTTCGCACTTTAGAGTCTTCGCGCACTTTTCTCGGAGAAAATTTCTCCTAAAGTTCCGTAGATTTCCCAGTCCCGCCGCAGTGGTCGTCTAATGCGACTGCATGAGGATACTTTATCCTAAATTTTGAGCTTTTTCGAATATACGGAGAATGTTTACAAATGTCTTCCAGATGTAAATGACGTATTTTCTGCTTTCGAGCAAATATACTATAAATTGTTGTTGAAAGAGAAACCTGGAGATTGGGTCCCACGCTCTTCTCAAACATGTTTCAATTTCCACCACCATTTTTGTAAAGAAAGAGGAAGCTTCCCAGGGCGTCTCAATTAGGTTAAGTTTTTGGTCCACTGTGCCGCACGTATCGTAAGGTGCTGTCTGCAATACACTTTGACACAATAACGGTAGAACTTCACATCTACTGCAGTTATGATCACCCACCACGTGCAGAGAGACTCGAATCGAGAGGCGAAAAGTGTTGATGCTCGACAGAGTTCTGTTTTATATAGCGTATACTGTATACGCTATATAAAGAACAGCCTTGGAGGAATACTTTCAATGTATACGGTATACGTTGAAAGTATTCCTCCAAGCCTGTGTACAGTGCATAGGTCACATGTAGGGATGGGCACGGCTCGCTAATGGCTGGCCGGCTAATATTTGTTGTTAGCCGGCTGCCACCTCTATACGAGGCCAAAAACGAGCTGTAAACTCGGAACGAATTTACGTAATCCGCCGAAAACGAAAATTCGTTCCGAGTTTACGTTGTCGGCCGATTACGTACTCAGATTCGGCCGAAATTTTTCAATAAACATGTATTTTGACTGAATATTTCGGTTGATTGCATTTTCGGGCGATTTCTGACTAGGAGGCTAAATTTGAAGCCCAGCCGGCTAGCCGTTGCCCAAGTCACAAGTTTTACCTTTCGAAATACAAGAAACAAAACCAAGAGACAAAGTAGAATCTACATATACCGATGAGTAATAGAGGAAATACACCAGTGAAAAAATTATTTACAAATATATATATATATATATATATATTAATGCATAAACTCTTACATGGGCTAAACCTTCATACAAAACAGATAGTTTACAAACAATGTACATCTTTGAAATTTTGTTGTTTGTAGAGTAGAAAAATTATAACCTATTGTGCATTCATTGTAGAGTAATAAGAACACATAAATTAAAGTAGAGTTTAGTTATCATTCAATTTATGCTAATTATTCTTCACGTTACAAATGAGATCTTCGTCCAACAATTTCATAAAAAATTGGTTTGTTCAAGTGGGAACACACAAGATACATCTTTCTTGTTACCAATCTTGTGTTTGCGTTTAATCACGACGGATGTAGCTCTGATATAAGCTTGCACTGTTGATAGCGCAACATCCAATGTTGCATGGGAGACCTTTGGCACTAGAATGAACGTGTTCATTTTGATCCTTCTATCAGATAAGATCCTTCTAATCAATCACAAATCTCCCATTTGAAGCAATTTTTATTGGGTGAAGGATAATTAGCATAATTGAAAATTAACTAGCCACTACCTTAATTAAACATGTCATACAAAAAACAACTTGAAAATCTAGCCACTCTCATATGTTGTAATCGGCACCCATAACATTACAAGTAGCTTTTTTCATATAATTGTATTTAAATAACTTTTCTTCATGTTGTTACACTTGCCACTTATTGTTGGATTTACTCTTGATAAACTTGAACTATATGCTAGTTAGTTGTCGCTAAAATTATATGTAAAAGATCTTGTGAAAGCTTTTAATGACACGTACAAATATAC